AGAGGAAGATGTAAATTTAGCTGAGTTTTGTGAAATTACTAGAAAAGATCTGGCTAAAAAGAACAATGTCTTTTTGTAGTGAGAACCCTCTTCCCACGGTGGAGATTGCCATCCGGAACACAGGTGATGCTGACCAGTGGTGTCCACTGCTTGAGACACTGACAGATGCTGAGATGGAGAAGAAGATCAGGGACCAGGACAGAAACACAAGGTAAGAGATTGAACTGCCTTACTTAAATTACCATTTTGCCCCATAGCAGATGTGTACCAACTAGAGAGACAAGCCATATGACAACGACAAACTATTACTTCTCTAAGACCAATTATATTAGTACTTTGTACAGATTTTCATTTGGAGATTTTGGAGGTGTTGTGACTCATATCAAACTTTTTCTGTTTCAGGCGAATGAGACGACTTGCAAACACGGCCCCAGCATGGTGAAAATATCAGCCCCCTCCCACAACCATGTAAATCTGAAGAGGCAAATACCAATAGAGCTACAACCCAGCGTTACTGACATAAAAACATAGAGACATTCCACTGGCCAGTCCAGATCAGAGTAACATACTGTAAACTAAAGCAACATCTGTTCCAGTCTGGCCTAGTCAAAGCCTGTGTCGTGACCTGTCCCCGTACCCAGTATCTGTCATCTTGGAGACAGACAGTCTCTGTCTTGAAATGTTGAGAATATTTTATGGTATCTTTATTTGTCTTGTTTTGTGTTTATGTATAGATGCCATTTTGTAAACATAATGTGCTTTTAAATAAAATTAAGATGAAGAAAGTCTGTTAGAATGCTTTTTGTTCCCAAAACTTGCAAGGACAGTCCCAATGGGCCAAGTGTCTTAAGAAATAAGAGCCTCAGTATTGTGTTCTGAACTAGCAAACTAGTCACGTGACTCGAGTGTTGTAGATATGGGTATAAAAATATGAGCCATATTTTTATTTGCAAAGCAGAAATATCCAACAAACAATCCCATGGCAAATACAATACAAAAGAAAACTTAATACATCAGCCTTCAGACAAACAAATGTATTTGTATTCATATTTAGAGAAAAACCCAAGCATCCATGTGGTTTTTAGGAAATTTTATCTTTTTGTGGAGCACAAATTCTTCCAGACAATCCATCTTTCAGTTTCAGTGCATAAAAGCTTTTTGTTTTTTTTGCAATGGTGCTAACAAAAGGCCAACGGCTTGAAAATGCATAGTCTGCAGTTCAATTTGGCATTTCAGATAGTCGGCACATTTGTGAATGTGTCCACCTGCCTCGCCGCTGACTGTGTTGTGGGAAAAGAGATATGCCACAGTATTGTACCCAAGAAAATACCCTCTTGTGGAGTTCACACCCACTCCAAAATGATGGATTATAGTATGGGAGATTGAATGGCTTCTTTCAACTCCAATCCTGCCAGCCACCGCTGCTTTGTAATATTCATTAAATAGAAGTTGTCAAGAAAACAGCAATTGTTTCAAACCATGTGGTGTGAAGTAAAACAGAAAGGCATTGTTCCTTCAGAACAAAATAACAAAGGAAAACTGTTCGTGATGTGCATGGCACTGAATGCAAAATTTGGATCTATTTATTTTGTACACAAAGGCACTAAGGTGGCCATAGTCTCCAACTTTTCTGGATCCACAGTGGACCCCTTTATCAAGGAGTGTCTTCCATTACACAGTTAGAACTTGACATGCAGACATAAACTTCCCCAACTAAACAAGGAGGACTTTAAAAGTATGACAAGATTTATTGCTGTCTTTGAAACCTTCAGTTTTCTTCTCCTTGAAGATCCTCATCATTTTGACCTTGGCCAGCATCATCTGGACCTTGTCCATTCCGGGATATCCCACTCTGGTCTTCCGGAAGAGGGGTGTAATTTGGATCTTCTTGAGGCATGTCAAACAAAACTCGACTACAAAACATGAATAAATATTTCTGATTTAGTTTTCTGTGTTGAAGGCAAACAAATGATAAAAAGAAAAATATTTCAAATATTTATAGTCATACTCACAAAATTCCAGGAGTGGCAAGAAGCTTTCTGCCTCCGGGCTGGTTAGGAAATACATCCTCCAGGAAGTAATAGATGTGTCCTACAGCGATCCCTATATATACACAGAAACATCCATACATAATGTTTTAAGAGAAAAAAAAAATATTCAGCAAGGACACTGATCAATTGATTAAAAGGGACTGTAAGTTATTTTAAATAAATGCATTTATCAAATAAAGAGTCCTACAGACTCCAAAGAGTCCTATAAATATATTTTATCATTGAAAAAGCAGTTGAACTGTTCAACTCTGATAATAAGAAGAAATGTTTCTTGATCACCAAATCAGCATATTCAAATGATTTCTGAAGTATCACGTGACACTAAAAGACTGGAGCAATGGCTGCTAAAAATTCAGCTTTCCAACACAAAAATAAATTACATTTTAAAATATATCCAAAGAGAATACGGCTATTTTAAACTGTAATAACATTTCACAATATGTCAACTACTGCATTATGTAATGTTTATGCAAAGTCAGTTCTTTTGTCATGAGCATTTCAGGACAAAAGTTAACATACCCAGGAGATCAATAACAATAGAGTTGCCCAGTAACAGCGAGAATCCCATGAGCACCCAGGGAAGAAATGGGGCCTGGAAGTTGAGCAGGCCAAAGAAGTTCATGCGGACATAAGGGTTCCTTCTACTCCAGACATAAACCAGCATTATAGTAAAAGCCTGTCCTAAAAAGAACAGGTTGGCAAATAGACCAAAGAGCTATAGACATCAGAGTTAAAGAAATGAAAAAGACAGAAGACTGAAATAGAACAAAAAACTTAATTTAGCACTACGAATAAACAATATGAAAGGATGAAATGTTCCTTATGAATAAACATTGACACTTCAACATATGATACATGGTTTGGTGAAAAAATGCATTCTTGGTTGTTGTTAATGCGATGGATGCTGAAGGATACAGTCATAAGAACACCACCGAACAGGAACATATAGACAAAATCTGCCGTTCGACCGCGGAAAGAGCCTTCCTCCAGCATTCGACAGTAACGATATCTGCTCAGTCAAGGGCATAAACTCAGATGACCTACAGCACAGCTGCATACGAGCCAAACGGCCGTTATGCAAAGCAAACACACTGTGAAACTGTGTGAATGTGTTTTTGTGTGCACACTTCCTAAACATTTCACAGACGGCCAACAGCGAGAAAAGGATACAGAAAAATCATATTGAACAAGAAGCTGAATCCAAGAGGTCCAAAAAACAAGAAGTTTGTGATCAGTCGCCATACCTGCAAAGGGGAAGAGAGGAAACATAAATGTATATCAAAATAAAAGAATGAATAGGCTTGATAAAGTGGTTGTGATAAATACAACGTCTCAATGATAATAGGGTACTAACCTGGTATTTCTTTAATATTAACTCAGGGTTAAAATAGAGTTGAAACGGTGTGATGAACTCCAATTGCTGTAATAAACAAAAAAAAGTCAAGCAAGTCACAAGAAGGTTTTCTGGTGACCATGAAAAATGAACCTATTTTAGACTGTTCCTCTACGTTCTTAATAAGTGTGATTATTGGGTAGTTAACTGTGACAAGCTATCCTTCATATAAAACATTTTGTGTCATGTATAACAAATAACATTTTATGACCTCATTAACTGAGAAGCTGTTTATAATATTTGCACTTTTAAAAATGTATTTGTCACACTGCAGTAAAGATGCAGCACAAAAAATACAATACACAAGATAATTATATAAAATATATACGTTTTTTTACATTATATACTAAAATCAATTCTTGACACACAAACAAAATGATGTTTCATAATTATGTTGGTTATTTAAGCATTTACACTGACACTGAATGTTGAATGGGGGGGAAGATGATAACAATTGTGAAGACATATTGACTTACAGTCTTCAGTATGTGATGATTCTATATTTATCTTGCGATGTAAGTCCAGTATCAGGTATAACGTTACTGTCTGTAGCCTGGTTTACTCACCACAGCTGCAGTTGTCAGGACGCATGCAGTAGTATATGCTCGCGTGACGGCTGGGATCTGCATGTACTCTTGAGTGACGCTGTTTGCCATGATTTTTCTCCGGCGTATTAATAAACTCTTCTGCACACTTTCACTGTGTATCCGTATGGTCACTTCTCCCACAACACATTTCAGTACACTGACGCTGACCAACGATCGTTCGGTTCACTGTGGATGGGCTTTAATGCCTCAGTAGATCCATGTCCACGTTTAGCCTTAGCTTCAGACTGTTTATTTTTAATCGTTCATAATGTTAGCGTTTGGATATGAGTTTTAACGGGGGCGGAGTCAGAGTGTGTCGCTTCGCTTCAGCACCTCCACGTGGATATAAGGAAAAATCTCTTGTTGTTCCGTGGACCAATGAGATTGCACGGTTCCACTGACGTCATGAAAGTCATGGCGTGAAAGTAACCGTTTTAGGAATTGTATAAATTACAAATATTCATATTGTTTTCAGTTTTGAATTCGTTTTATATTCTTTAATCTTCTATTATCTGATAGAAGATATTAGAATTATTAGATATTATAAAAACCGTTGGCCATGACTTCTTTCTCATAGCTTTCTTTCTTTCTTTCTTTTTAATGCAGTGCATATTGCAAATGAATGAAGAACATTTTGGAATTTAGGGAATATTTTAATTGTACCAAAATACAACACACATTTTATAAAAGTATTTACATAGTAAATATGAAAAGCCAAAGAAAATAGTATAAGAACTACAAAAACTAGAGAAAATATAGAACAAAAAATATACAAAGATGATGTGAAGAAAAAAATATGCCAAGATGATCTATTGTAGAATATTAAAAACAAAACAAAACAAACCAAAAAGATTTAAAACATTGTCAGTGTCCTGCACTGAAGAGTGCCAGTTTGCCTGTTATAGTCTCAATATTATAAACAAATGATCATGTGTCAAGAGTTTGTGTGATCTTAAAAACATCCTTCCTATGTAATAAGGGTGTGGGGGAGGGCTGACATCTTGAATGAGAGACCTAATCTCTAAATAGGGTTTTCTTGTGTTATTAATCAATACAAACTGCATAGTTTAAGTTACAGTACAACTTGCAGCGAATCATAAAAACTTCGAGTGTTATGGACATTGCAACTGGTGCAAAGATCCCTGACAAATGTTTTAGCACCTTGTTTAGCACCTTAACAACAGGGCATTTGTGTCTCTTTACACAGTGGTTGCTTGATAATACAACAAATACAGACATAGCTGCTCGTGGTTCATAAAGCTCAGATGTGCAAGATTTCCTGAGAAGAAATAAGATTAATCAGACATTTTTGAGGTGAAAGGAAGAGAAATGCCTGGGGAACAAGAACTTGGGTTACATAGTACAGTTCCATGAAAAAGTAGGGATATTACACTGTGTGCTTTAGACCAGAGTGTGAGAAGTTGTTGTAAGAGACAGAAACGTTTCCTGAGGGTTTATGGCATGCTACATCCAAAGAAGTCTGCACTAACGTAGCGTGGGTAACCTTCCAAAACCTTACGTTGAACTGAGTCAAACTTCCAGTACTGTCGGCCATTGATGAAGATGGCAAAGCCTGTGGAGTATACAACAGGTCACGAGAAAATGAATGAATGGGAAACCCTTAATAAACCAATGTATTAATATTGCACAACTACATACTTAGTACTTATAAATTACAAAAATATGAGTTAACAAAACAGCTCAAACTTGACTAAAAACAAATGACTATTGCTGCTGAAATATCGCCCTCTTCTGTCAGAGGTCTGTCACACTCACCAATTAAAATGGGCAGAAGAGACAGATCAAATGACCACTTTTTTTCAAGGAAGCCATTAGGATGCTATTCTTGAGTGACTTTGTGAACATGACATACTCCATCTTTTTCAGTCACTTTGACCCATAAACACATTTTGTGTTTATCCACTAAAAAAAGTCTCAGTTATTTAGGCCTACTATGTTGTAGAAACTGTGTGTTCTGGGTCAGAGTGACTTCAAGTGATACAGCAGGACACATGTTCATGTGCGGCTTCAAATAGAAATAGATCTACATTCCAAAAACACAGACTGTTCTGAGATGTACATACTGACAAAATTAATATTTTGGGGGGGATTTTGTCAAGAATGATAATTGAGACAATATATTTAAGACAAGTGTATTTTGTGTTGGTATCGTGGCTGGTTTAGGCCTGATGACTAGCAAAGTTTTTCATATTCTTTATATTCTGTGTGGTGGTCAGTTCACAGCAGTGACCTTTCCATGTAAGTTAAATTGATTTCCACTGTCTTCCATTATAAGGTTTTTTTTTTTCAAACCTTATTAGATGTATGCATCACCTTTTATATAAAATTCTTATATTTCATCGATAAATTCAATAAGAAAAATAAGACACAAATCGGTGGTTATGAATCAATGAATTCAGTATCAACACAATCCATCTTTGCACTGCAGGGCTGGCATCTGAAGTAGCATTTAGATGTATTTACACAGAATGCTTAAAGCAGCTCAAAAATGCATTTACACTGCAATTACAACTGCATAAATAATTATAAGCAATTATAATGAGATTAATGATTTAAAATAAAAAAATGTAATATTTAAATATACCATTTTATTGAAAGCTTACTTTAAATATTAAATATTAACTAAAATATTTCAATATTAACTAAAACGGCCAGTAGGTGGAGACAAGTCTCTTAATATTTTGTTGATACTGATTTCATTTGATTCATAACCACTGATTTATCTTATTCTTCTTATTGAATTTGTTGATGAAATCTAAGAATTTGGCATAAAAGGTGATGCATACATCTAATAAGGTTTGAAAAAAATAACTTTATAATGGAAAGCAATTTAAGTCTCTTACTATTAGTCACTTAGTCACATTCAGAAAAGAAAAAGTGACTTTTGAATGGTCCATTGAGTCAGTCACTCAAATGATTCATTAAAAAACGCAGATTCAACAAACTTTCTTAACTTACATAACCTGATTTCTTTCATATTAATATTAACATTCACTAATATCTATTAAAAAGGCTGAGCTGGAAGTACCATGTGCATCCTGGAAGGCGGCGTCAATCTCATCAGGGATGCCCCACCAGTCCTGCTGGATGCTGCGTGGGAAGGCCGTGTCCACGCTGTTCTCTTGGGAATCCAAACGCCAGTAGTTTCCTGATTTGAAGAAGTATGTATAGTGGCCGTGGTGCTCCTTTAAGTGCAGTGCAGCCTGAATGTCTGTGACAGGAAGTCCTATAGTCTGCAGAGGGTCTGGTCCTTTTATCTTGTGTTCTGCATCAAACACCCAGTAGCTGGAACCTAACAGAGGACATAACGGAAAAAGTACATATGAGTAAAGAGTAAATATGACTGCGTTAATGTAGTATTTTAATTCAACATAACTATCACTTTATTCCATTTTATTATTATTTATTATTCCTATTATTTGTTATTGATCTTCAAATTCAATGCACGTTGGCAAAACAAAGGCAAATAATGATAAGACTCCATCGGAAGAATTTGTCTTAAATGACACAATTTAATACTACACCGTATTAAACATTTGTTCAATGTATTAATTGATGGTATGTATTAGTCTATGTGCATGTTAAAAGTCAGCATGAAATAGAAATATACATATTTTTCAGCCTTTTGAATGATATACAGTATTCTAAGATGGCTTAAAAAAGATTTTTTTTAAACAGCAGTTAGCATATAAATCAGTATAAAGAGCACTGAAAGACAGTAAATAATCTTAATTGGTATACAGATCACAATGTTTAGACTATTTATGGCTTTAAATGATGGGAAAGTGAATTTAAGCAGTTTTAATGCTTTTTAAGGGTCTGTAAAATTATCTTGAGTGATTATCCCTACATGTGCTCCCTCTAGTGGTAAATAGATAAAGTACATTTAAAGCAACATACCACATGTTTGACTCACTGAACCGATGCTATTCCTGTTCTAAATGCAGAGTAAAGTTTAACCCAAATTTTCAGCCTTGAAATTGTACATTTCATTCTGTGAAATTCACAAGTACCATCATAGCTACAATAAACACATATAAGTGTACAGTCGTTTAGGTACTGCACAACACAACACAACACAACACAACACATGTATTCATCTGTTGTTAGCAGCATTTGTTCTGCGTGCTCATGTTTAATCATGCCCTGCATTAGAGGCACAAAGAAGGATGCTTTAGATATGGGTCAAGGGGAAGTACCGCACCACCCATCTCCATAGATATGTATATAACCAGGCCTGTCTGATCCTGTCCTGCAACCACAAATCACCACAGTTAGCCACCGGTGCTGAACTCACCCACCTTCAAAGAACCAGATATTGCCCTTTTTGTCTTCATAGGCGGCGCCTATTTTCTCTGGAATGCCCCTCCAGTGTCGAGAGGCCAGGGCAGGGTATCCCGCCTGCAGACGGCCCTCCCTGATGCGCCAGGCATAACTGGCCTTGAAGAAGAACAATTCCCCACGGATTACAGACACAGCATCAAAGTCTGTGTGACAAGCGTCAGGCTACAAACAGTGACAGCAAGAGGAGATGGGATAACGAGAGTGAGAATGAAGGGAATATATAGATAAACTAATATGAAATATGTGATGATTTTGGAATATTTTGGGTTTAATACAATAGTAGTTATAACACAATACAATTGTAATATAATTGTAACATTATTAATGATTACCACAAAAAAAAAAAAAGGAAAAAAGAGGTTAAATAGAAAAATTACACAATTAAAAATGTCATTGTTATTTTTTTGTGGTAATCAACGTTACACCAAAAATGCTGTTGATGTTGCCGTTGACATTCTTTTAAATGTTTAATTTTGCCAGTGTTTAAATGTTCAGGGACTCACTGCACTGGTGATAATCTCATTGGTTTCTGTAGGGATTTGGAGTGGGGCTTGCGGCCGGGGGCCGTAGAGGTATTGAATCCCTTTCTTGTCATCCTCACTGAGTTGGAGAGGATAAGAGAAGCTGTAAAATGGGGACATTATGGCTCCAGGCTCCAGAGAATGCTGTAGACCCAGGACATGACCAAACTCATGTGCTGCCACCTGAAGAAGATCAGTTCCTGTAGGATGACATTTAAAATGAGGCTTTTTCAGACAAATATGAGTTGACTTTTATATCTGATCTCAAGGAATGCCTGTCAGTTGGTTTGTTCTGATCCGTTTGTTCAGACGGGATCTGGTGCAATCTACATCGGTGACTGTAGTACATCGGTTAATGATGTAAGCGTCAACGCAATGCCAGGAGACTTTCTCATTCAACAGCTGAGTAGCTGTCAGGGTGGAATGAGAGGACAGAAAACCAGATATCTTGCCTCTGCTCGTGTCTTTGATGACATCTCACTGTGAACTTAAAAGGTGGATTGAGCAACCTTACAAAATAACACACACTTTGTATGATGTCATGCATTTATATGATAAAAACAGATCTGAATCTCTCTAATCAGTTTAATCGGTCAAATCTTATATGGATGTGAACTGGGTTTGAGATTGGAGCCAGATATGCAAAAAAAAAAAACTTTTCCGCATCCAAACTTTCCAGGTAATTTTTTGAAAACAGAATCTATAACACATTCACTGATTCGTTCTCAACAATGCATGATATCTGTATCAGAGATTTACAGTTTTCCAAGTGAGTGGCAGGCAGTGAAGCAGTAAGTTGTCTCTTTACAACTTACCAAGTTCATTGCCCACCGTCCAGGACTCATCATAATCAAAATGAATGTCTCCCTCCCGGTGTGTCCTTGGGAAAAAAGCATGAGCCAGGATCCCACCGGGGCCATCAAAGGGCAAATTATCACCATGCCAGTACCTAATATGGGAAACACAGACATACTGTATATACTGTATGTGTGCTATCTGGGATCTTTGAATTACAGTAGGACTATTGCATAAAAATAAACAATTATGTTAAAGCACTAGATTCACCATTTATATTTATGACTGGAACTAAATATACAGTGTTAATTGTTTTCTGCCAGTATTAATATAGTAGAAAACAGACTGACTTAAGAGCTATTGGATGTGATGTGATATGATTTGATATGTGATATATTTTAAATTTGTTCACTTAAGATTTTTTTTGTCTTATACCTAAAGACATAAATATGAAAATATGAAATTAATATAAAATATTTCTATATTAAATTATGTAGACTCGTGTGAGATACAGGCAATTTTAATATCAGTGGTCAAGAAAAATCTTTTTTTTTTCTAGATAAAGGTGGTCACCCCTCATGATGGCTGCTATATTGTACTTTACTGTACTGGACTACCTCTCAAAAGTTTAAAGTCTGTAAGATTTTTTAAGATCTTTTATTAAACAAGGATGCACTGATCAGAAGTGATAGTAAATACATTTTTAGATTTCTTTTTTAAATAAATGCTGTTCTTGCTATTCATCAAAGAATCCTGTAAAAAATGTATCAGAGTTTCCACAAAAATATTAAGCAGCACAACTGTTTTCAACATTTATAATATAAGAAATGTGACCCTGGACCAAAATAAACAGTCATAAGTCACAAGGGTATATTTGTAGCAATAGCCAACACTACATTGTATGGGTCAAAATGATCAATTTTTCTTTTATGCCAAAAATCATTAGGATATTAAGTAAAGATTATGTTCCATGAAGATATTTTGTAAATTTCCTACCGTAAATATAACAAAACTTAATTTTTGATTAGTAATATGCATTGCTAAGAACTTCATTTGGACAACTTTAAAGGTGATTTTCTCAATATTTAGAATCTTTTGCACCCTCAGATTCTAGATTTTCAAATAGTTGTATCTCGGCCAAATATTGTCCTATCCTAACAAACCATACATCAATGGAAAGCTATTTATTCAGCTTTCAAATGATTTATAAATCTCAATATAAAAAAATTGACCCTTATGACTGGTTTTGTGGTCCAGGGTCACAAATGTATCTTGAGCACCAAATCAGCATATTAGAATGATTTCTGAAGGATCACGTGACACTGAAGACTGGAGTAATGGCTGATAAAATTTTAGCTTTGCCATTACAGGAATAAATTACATTTTAAAATATATTCAAATAGAAAACAGTTACTAATAATATTTCAAATATTACTGTATTTGTATTTCAAATAAATGCAGCCTTGGTGAGCATAAGAGCCTTCCTTCAAAAACATAAAAAAATCATACCAACATACTGTAGTATATATTATACATTATTATACTATATTGTATTGCACTCTACTGTATTATACTATACTGTACCATTCTTTACTATGTTGCATTGTACTTTACTATACTGTGCTGTACTATACTATCATACTATACTGAATACTATACTAGTACTCACTTTATCTTGTAACACTTGTATTATTGGACAGCTGTTTGCAGGATAAATTAATCAAGGATGACAAATACACCTGTGAGGAGGGTATTTCAGAAACAATTTACTGAGTATATGATTTTGCATGGCACTCATCTGTCATTACGAAATTCACCAGACTGCTGTCATATCAGTTGTTTAAGAAGATGAACAGGAGCCAGAGACCAAAAGCAAAAATGACTTAATGCACTTTTAAACTGCTTCACTCTGCTACACCTAAGCATATTGAGACATGATTTATTTATTTTTGTTACCTTGCAAAGTCAATGATTATGTCGGCCTCTTGGTTGATGACCTCAGTAAAGGTGAGGGGCGTAACGTCACTCCAAATCTTGAGAGCTTCCCGTAAAACCCGCCTCACTTTATCCTCATTCATCTGCCACGGGAAGCGCTGGATTCTGAACACACATGGCCACAGTCATACTCAAAGTTTATCAACAAAACACACATGATCACGTTTGCATACACACATTGTGTTACAGACCACCGGCCTTTCACTGCTGGACCACCAACCGACACAAACCCACATCAGAGACCACCAGTGATTCATCTTTATTATTCATCACCATAGGCATCTGTCTGGTGAGCATGTCACATGATCTCATAATGTGCTTTGAATTGTTGTTTTATGAGCATAACAAAACTGTGGTTTCGGTGGTATTATGTGTGTAGCTTCATGACCCAGTTCTCTGACAGGAGCAGAACTCACCCCGCAGGGATCATGTAACCTCAGACAAGTATCAGACTGTTCTGGATCTTCACTTACAATTTGGGCATGATTAACCTTTTATTATATTCATTTGCACAAAGGTGAGCACTTAATTACGCATTCTTCAAATATTTATGTCGAACAGCAGTAATAATCCACATAGCTCAAGTTAAAAGGAACTTAAGCTGTTTCTACTTGTATCTGAAATGATTTAGAAATGCACATTTTAATAAAGGAAGCCAAGCTTTATCAGAGGGCCCACACACCTGTCTGTGTTAAGGAATGTGTCTTGATTCAGCCCCTCAAGCTTAAGATTTTTGATACCATTTCGAATGTGTGTGTCTTTGTGAAATGGATCCTTTTCACAATTCCAAGGTTCTCAGAAGTCAAACTCAGAACTCGTCATAGTTGACTACACTTCTATAGTGAATGAAACTACAATAAATATACTTTTTGCCTTCCCATTTGCTTTAAATGCATAGGGAAAAAACTCCACAATAGTGTTTCAATGACTTTCCAAAAGAGAAAAAATATATAGTGAGATTGATTATGAGGCTGAGAAGAGAGAAAGATGTCAGATTTGCTGTAAATCCCTCAGTCGTTGTGTAGAAACACCTTCACATCAGCGTAAACTAGTTTTCTATAAATTAATGCCAAGGTAAATATAACATATATATATATATATATACAGCAGGATGTCACAGCGCTTCAGCAGTTTGGAGACACGCTGTTACGCATCTTCAGAGATGACCTGCGCAATGACAGGCACAACTGCACTGCAAAACACGACATAGCCACAAAACAAATGCACGATGGAAGAGGTGGGCAGTATGACCAAAACCTTTAATCACAGTATGGGTAATATTGCATCTTGGTAATGGTATATATGCTTGGAAGTCCAACACAAAATGCTTTATATTAGTGCTGTCAAATGATTAATAGCGATTAATCGCATCCAAAATAAAAGATTTTGTTTACTCAATAAATGTGTGTGGTGTGTACTAATCTACAATGCATGCCTTTGTACTATTCAGCCATGAAAATGTTACACAAAGAACAATTTGTGAAACAACTGAAAGCAACAAGACCACAGAAAGAAAAGTGTGTATCCTGCATCTTCAACCGGATGCATCCACACTGTGCTGCCTGTGAATAGATTCCTGTACAAATGTGGCTGATTACTACTCTCTCAGACGGAGAGTAGATGGCCCTTTTCTCCCTCATAGGTCTGACTATAAAGCCCCTGCATTCCTCAATATAAACTGCCTGCTGTAAGCACGATCAGAACAGAGATAGAAAGTGCTATCAGCACACAAACATTATCGTTCATTCAGATATTGAATAAGGACAAAAATGACCCTTTTGTTACGATGAAAACAGACAGGCTCTGTGCCACTGAAAAGATCTTGACCTAAGATCTAAGCTTACACACTAAAGTTGCACAGTTGGTTTATAGGCTAATATAATTATATGTTATTATATTATTATATCAAACCTGGAAAGAGACATGTGCATTTGGGGAGTGAATTATTCATGAGATATCTTGTCAATTTAATCAGGTGAATGCACAGTGTATGTTGTCTTTTTTTAATAATTGTTACAGCAGATTACAAATGAAAAAATAAATAATCAGAAGGAAAATAATGCAGCCGACTGAAAAGAGCTCTTGCCATAGTTATTTGTGTTATATCATGTCACATTAAAATACCAATTTTAAAATAGAAAATTTTTTGAACTTATTCAGTCAAATTGACAAATACGGATTATTTGTAGCACAATTTAATTATTTGAAGTAATTTTTTTCAGTCTTTTTGACATGACCAAACTGAAAGTTCGTCCCATAATTTAAAATGCAGGAGGCTCGTTAGGAAAATGGTGGATATATTACTTAGAATTAAAATGAATGATCTTGTTTTCCTTGTATACCTTACTTGTAAGTGAGGTCAGTTTTTGGCCAGCGTCCTCCAAAAATCACAAAGCGTTTCTGTCGGGGGTGACTGCTGAGATGCACCTCTCTCTGGTCGGGGTAGTCTGGGACGCCACAGCGTACTGGACCTGCACCCCCGGAGCTGTTCCTGAGTTGGGTGTTGAGCTGTGGCTCATTTTTTGGCAGCGCTTGAGGTTTGAATGTGTCCTGAGGGTGAGGGACCCTGTCTCTCCTCTTTTCAGAGAGGGAATGAGGAATCTGTGACAAACCCTGTGATGGATAGACGGGAGACATGCATGAAATGAATTGCAACAATCCACACTAATTTGCTAAAGAAACACTCATGTTAATAGCTACTAACTAGTTAGTTAGTTAGCATAACACCATTATGACTGATGAAAATTCAGCTTTGCCATCACAGGAATAAATCACACTTTAAAATACTTTAAAATAGAAACAGTTGTTTTAAACTGTAATAATATTTCACAATATTATTGTTTTCACTGTATTTTTTGATCAATTAAATGCAGCCTTGGTGAGCATGAGAAACATCTTTCAAAAACAATCCTAAACGACCCCAAAAATTTGAACAGTATAGTGTACTGTATATTAAAATAAATTGCCAGAAATTGTTCATGACATTTATTTAACGAAAGTCTCAAACATCATAAACTGACATTAGATTAAAAAAAAACATACTGTACCTGTTTGGAAAGGCCACAGTTTATGATAATAAACATCTTGCACGTTAATGAACATTAAATAAAAACAAACAAGCCAAACCGCCCTAATCTGATACAAAAAGCTTACTGTGGGATATGATTGCGGATGGACTGCTTAGTGTCCCTAAACATTCTTTGGAGGAAATGGTTGTTCATTAACATGGGCGTTAAAGACAGAGAAAAATGCCGTGGGCAGCATTGTGGTGCTTTCAGGCAGAATTATGAGCATTTATAGATGCTTTAAACTTCAGGATGTTTCGTCTTTCATTTACAGTCCTCACCTTTTACCCACTTACAGAAAAATGTCTAAATAAATACTATATTTACATGAAATCAGCATTTAGTTCAAAAAGCTAAATATGTTAAGATTTGAAGAATTTACAACAAGCTGTTATATTGTGAGATGCAAATTTGAAAGTTATCCTAATGTCTTCCTTTGGGAAAGAGGGAAAGCACAGTTCTGACAAGGTGCCCTTGTTTTTCTTCTTGCCTGGTTTACAACATATTATAAAATGTTTAGGACTTTTGCAAAGAAACAGCAAACAGGCTAAACATTTTCCCCTCAGTGACCCCATGTCTCTCTCCCAGGGACGGCGGCACAGCGGTGACTCCTCATGCGTGAGGCAGAGCTGCTATATTGGAGACAAAGCCCAGCAGGAACTGTGGAATGTGCCCTGGCCTCTGAGTGAGACTTTCTACCAGCATGCATTGCTGATTTCCAACATGTGCACGTAGACAAGTTCATTAAATATATATAGATAAAGAAGAGAAAACATTTAGTTCAAAAAACATAAGCTAAGTTATTAGAAATGTACTCTTTGTATTTATGTTGGTGTCATATGGTTTTGCAAAACGTTTTTAGCTTTTTCAACAAAATTTATGTTTACAGTTACAGTATATTATGTTCATATGTATCATAAAGCAAAAAACATATTGATAACATTTTGAATGTCAGTGAACACACCTTAATCATTATTAAAGCGTGAAGTTTTAATGATTTTTTCAAGGTAAAAGTGTTTTTTTTTTTACAAATATGATAAATAATATATTTACAAATTATTACGTTTTTTGGGGAGTTGCACCACATGACATTTTAGTCTTGAATCCTCTTACTCAAAATTATCTAATATTTTAAAGGGATAGTTCACCCAAATATGAAAATTCTGTCATATAAATGTAATATTATTATGCAAATTCAAATATCGTTTTGATGAAATCTGAGAGCTTTCTGACTCTGCATAGAAAGCAACGCAACTGACACGTTCAAGGCCCAGAAAGGTAGTAAGGACATCATTAAAATAGTCCATGTGACATCAGTGGTTCAACTGTAATGTTATGAAGCTACGAGAATACAATTTGTGCGCAGGGTCAGAAAGCTCTCGGATTTCATCAAACATATCTTAATATGTGTACTGAAGATGAACAAAGGGTTTACGTTTTGGAATGACATGAGGGTGAGTAATTAATGGCAGAATTTTCATTTTTGGGTCAACTATATCCTTTTAAGGGACACATTGACCTAGAAGGCATCATTTCCGGATTTATGCTTCTTTTCCCCTTGCATGTTTCTGCTTGTTGGTTTGATTTAGTGTTTTAAATGTTTAATAAGCAATGACACAGTCAAAGCAGGTTCTTACAATATTAATAAATTATTTTTTTTATTAAAAATAAAAGATTGTACCAAACTATTACTAAGGTAGTTTTTTGTTTCTCAGGAATTTCAATATTTTTTTCTTCATTATAATATCAGGACAGTGGTATCAACCTGATATTTTATTATTTGAATGCAGTAAATCGTTAAATACATCAATATAAGCACTTACACTGTACATCTTAATCTAATCTCATGAACCAATCTGGATATAAAATGTTAATGAAATTCAAACCAGATGCTTGAATAAATTTCAGTTGTTTATATCACCATAACATCCAACTGCATCGTGACTGCTGACCTATGAGTGGGTGAGATCTGTCATTACCCTGGAATAACACACACATTCTACTTCTGGCACACACAAGATTAGGTGCTTTTTGCATTTTTTTTTCATACGATGCAAGTTTCAAGAACTACAGTTCAAAGCATATATTTGACCCACTTCTAAAAAAATGGAGGGCAAGTTAGGACACATTTGGCTATACTATGCAGGGGGAATGAAGTCAACACAATAGGTTGCTATTTCTTATGTGTGTGTGTAATAATCTATAGAGAAAGCATTACCCAAGGTGTCTTGATGTTCTGCCAAGACGCAATCCCCAAAGTTTAAGCAGTTTATTTCATTAAACATCTGAGGAGATTAAAGCAACAAAATTGCAGTACACAAAATTGAAATCAAGGCTGCAGTATGCACTGATAAAAAGCCTAGAGGTAGTGGCATGATGTGGAAAGGAATGCTATGTGTATTTTTCTGCTGATACTGGACGCAAGATCAGAGTGAATTTTGAAATAAGTGTGAGAATGTAGCTGCACTGTTTAAATGAACCGTCTGACCCTAAAGCTACTGAAAATACCTTTTTAGAGTGGGATCAAAATTCTGGGTCAGTGCTTAATAGGTTCACAGACATCAAACAGGGAGAGAAAAACTTGTCTCAGTGATTTTGAAAGCTAGCCAACAATGCTTTCTGATTCATTTTTTTAATGCTGGAAATATTCTGAGTCAGCGTTTTGCCTGTAGTTTGACATAATTCATGTTTCAGATAAGCCCCCCAGACAAAGCCAAGTTATAAATGCTGCCGTCTCCTTTCATGTGTGCTTAAATTCACTAGTTGGGTCTGTGCTTGAGCCTCACTGTCATACAACACTGCCTGTCCCAGCGTAGAGCTCCCACGTCCCCCCGCCTCTCTCTCATGTTAACACATGCTTTCAGCTCCCACAGAGGAAATCCTGATAAGAGGTCCTGGCATGGTGCATCTGAGAGCTGTGTTTGTCCTTATGTGCTGTACTTCAGAACCCTGTCCAAAAATAAAAACACCAGCAGAGTTCCAGATTCACTGAGTTCAGGCTAATGATATCTGAACTGTTGAGAAACAGTGGCCTTTGTTTGGCAAGATTGACAAGAAAGAGTCATATTGTGTGAATATGGGGCCATTATGTTGCAAAAAATGTCAGGTACTCGTGTTGCATAACGGATGAATTGTTAGGAATTTTATCCTTGCTTTCAACAAACTCAATTGAAAGTACAAGCCATTTGCAGTAACAAAAACTAAACTACTAAACTTTGTGGAATTCCATATGCCAATACAGATGTGTAACAATTGTAAATAGACCAATTTGCAGGTTGATTTTTCAAAACATGTGAATGGTAGTTCTGTTGAGCTATCAAAACATTTGTATTTTTACTTCAAGGAATATTCTGGGATCAGTACAAGTTATGCTTAATTGTCCCTTCGCAGGGAGTTTGATTGACAGGTGATCTGACCAATCATAATGGTGAATCTGCCATTTTTGTCCGACAAACGAACCAGACAGGAGTCGATTAACGTCAATGGAATTGAACTTGAAAAATTATGTGTAATGATGTCTTTCCACGGCTGAAACAAGATACCTTGTGATGTTCATTCATGTTTATTTCATGCTATAACTAGTAAAGCGGAAGAGATGATCGCTTCATGTGCCACTTGAACTGAGGCGCTACAGCGATCTGTCAAGACACATTAAAGAGCCACAAAACGCTATTTATTGTTTGAATTTCTTAAACAAATGGCAAAATAAAAAGCTGAGACTTTGTTTCATACCAAAAGTAACCTGCGCTGTCTTGTCTGTCAGTTTCCTCTTTGCTCTGCGATGTATCTTTCACTGCGTGAGAACATGATGAATGGCGTGAGAGCAGCATGGCTTGTAGGGCATAGCAACAGTAAATAAGGGGGACAGGTATTCTGACAATTTGTGCTACCCTGTCAGATTTTGCTATAACAGCTGGTTGCATAATTCAACAGCAAAAATGCTACCTATCAGATTTTGCTTCCAGCGTGATATTAATGTGGTGTGAGGCTTCATTAATGTGTACACCCACCCCAACCCTAAACCTACCCTTACAGTATTAAAAATACAGCTTTGGTAGCATAATCTGATAGGTGGCATTATTTGTTAGAACACGGGTCTTTGCGAAGGGTCAATTGGCAGCAATTGCGACAAGTGGAAGTGAATTGGGCCAAGACATAAACATCAAAATACTCACTGGCTGCATCTAAATTCACATACTCTCTGAGGAGGTACTTCGCTGACAGTAGTAAGTTATCCGCTTACTTTTTTTTTTTGCCTACTGCTTCAAGAACCTTGATTTTAACTCTTGAATTTTTCTTTAGGGTATCACCTTTGACACAAATGCTGTTATTTGAGTTTAACCTGTACTGAACACCAGTTTCGAAACAATCATTAGGCCTACTTTTCTCACTTCAGTGACTAGTACCTTGAACATTACACATATCGCCTTTAAGAAACATCTAAATCAACTCATAAAGCAAGATTATTTCAGGACCAACTGAGTAAAGGTCTCCATGAAATGATAAACTGGGATTAGTACTTTGAGTAAAAGCATCATGCATGTTGGAATATTGTTTGATTTAGTAAGATAGTTGTCGACTCTTCATCTTTCCACATTTATCAAGTGCTTAAATTAGTCTTCTGACCCTAAATAAAACATTCTGGATGGGTAGAGTGCAGGATCAAAGATCTGGGTCACTGTCCAATCTGGTTTACAGACATCAGACAGGGAGAGAAAAAAGAAAAGCTAATCCTTACACCAACATATCACAACTCTTCATGACAAGATAAATGAAGCTTTAAAGGATTACCATTTGAACAAATATTCACAGGTAAATCCCCTAGAATCTGCAGCTGACTTGGGAGTGATGAGTGGTCCAGTGCAGGATTAAAGGAGACTTTCATGTATGCTTTGAGTGATAAGCTCCCAGATACAGTGTATGCACCAGTGCTCATGTTAAACTTTATCCCCAGCAGCTCAAGTCCTCTGTCTACCAGCAATAGTAAATGTTTCAAGTTTGGATCAACGCTTGAACGACTTTGGCACTTGGCTTGTTCACATAGACCCATTTTTTCCCTCTCCCACACACACATATTCCTGCTCTGACACATCCAAGAAGTCATGAAACTGATCACGCTTTCCTTGAATGGCCCTGTCAAAATCATAGCAGGGGCATTTCCCGACCAGTTAAGGTGAGTGAATCACCTGACCCAATAACCTTGAACTGCTAGACTCTAAAACACAATGTTGTTTGAGATGGAAATGCTGTTTGGGTTGCAGGTGAATTCACTCATACTTCAGAGGTCGTATTACAGAAACTTCCCATTTTAAAGCTACAATATGAAACCTCTAGCGTTTTTTTTGTGTAATTATGTGAGTTTGGCTTCCGCTTGGCTATGCTATTGTGTGTACCTGTGTACCTAGCCAAGGTCGTTAACGACATCTGAATTCCCACTCTTTTCCTCAAAATAAATAAAAAAGTATATATCAAAAATAAAATAAAAAAAGCATGTAAGCCAGACCAGACAAACCTTTTCTTTATTTATGAGCATGATGTGAACACACAGGTTAAGGAAAAATGGCGAAAGTATACAATTTCCTGTGAAGTCTTAAGATAAGGTATGATACGTGCAATGACTTCAAAGAGACAATCATGATTAGCCTACTAAACAGATAAGCATCAGTATCTTAAGCACTTACATTCGTTGAATTTGATCATATACAGCCTACTTGTATTTTTTACAGAAGTTTTATTAAACTCAATAATATAAACCTTACACCAAATTACAGCTGACAAATTTATTTTTTGCAAAAAATGAAAACAATATTACATAAGCACCTACAGATCCAATAAAACTGCTCTTATACAGCACAGCCCCAGTACAGGAGTGTATTAACCAGTCTTTTTTTGTTTTTTGTTTTTTTTAAATCCCAATTTTTCCCAATCATTTTGATGTTTTCTTGTGGCGCTCCACTAATACAATAAACTAGCAAATAATGCTTAACCACTGCACTGACAACTTTTATGCATTTGTTATGCTTCCCATATTCAGGCATTCAACCTTAACTAAAAGTTAATTGAAAATTACATGACTCAAGTGGTGTAAATATTAAGCTGCATATATTAACCTCAAATAAATGGTATGAATGAACTGTGTATCCTACAGCCTCCTCCTTTGCCAATATTTTCTGCTCCTGGTGATGGGGTTAAATGTGAAAATGACATGGGTATGTGAAAATAATAAAAATAAACAAGCATTGTCATGGTTAACAAACTACATAATCTATTATCTTTATGCAGTGGACGTGCCTGGGAACAAGGGGCCAAAATAATCATAACAGGAAAAAGGACAGTGCGGTTTCTGTGAGCAGACTATCACATTCCCTAAATTCTCTCTACAGTAGGCTATGCATCTGTGTGTGAGAGGTAGTGAGGGAGTGTGTGTCCCTCCAGATGGCACAGAAAACTTGCCCATGCCTGCACAATCCCTCGCTCTTTTGTCATCGCAGAGAGAACAAACTGACAACATTATATATAAGTTTAACAACTGAGTCATCAAAAACACAAAACTAAAATCCATTCTTCAGATCACAAGAATGTGATGACAGGTTAGGTCATTTTAATAAGCAAACAAACACTTCAAATATAGGGCACAAACAGAAAACCATAAAGAAATCAGTAAGCCTGAAAGTATATTTTGAGCTGAAAATACATTTATCAAGAGCATTTAGTGGCAGTTAAACAGTTAAATGAGATAAAGTTGCTCTGGTAAGCATTATTAAACTTGAATCATAAAAAGTGAACAAACCCAGATGAAACGAACAGGTTCTGGCTCGTAATTGTAGAAGCTTCAGACGCTGTTTTACCATTTTTGATTAATGATGATGATGATGACCCAGTATAACTGGTGCCAATAATCGTAGCAAGACAAAACTCAACAAATTTTGCTTTGTTCATGCTGATCTATTTGTATTTGCCATGTAGCATGAAAGTAAAATAAAAGGCATTTTATTAAACATTTTAAAGTAAAACTCAAACTTTAAACTTTTGTGGCAAGTTACAACTTTAGAGCAGCTAAATATAAAAGAACCACTTACTAAACAGCAGCCTACGGTTTTCAAGAGCTAGAATCAAACAATGCATCAAATGTGTGCATTAATAAACTCACCGGAGGCTCTTTGTGCTTCATGAGTCCTCGTCCCTCATGCAAAGGCATGCATCTCGCGGTCAGGAGCACATGCAGAGCGAAAGCGCCTGACAGAAGCCCGGAGAACCGCATCCTCCTCCTGTATCCTGGAGCTCCGCTGCTGATAGTGGAAGTGCCTGAGAAGGTTGTGGTGCAAGCTCGCGCGATGCCTGTGGACGACTGCTGCTGCGGAGACTGCACTTATTTATATGCAATTATTTCTTTGTTCTCTTTCCTCAAATACACCGCTTTTTTTTCTTCTTATGGGTCGGAGTGACAATATTGCCCGATCTCACCACGTGACCTTTAACTCTTTTGCCTCTGTGAGCGAATCAACTGAGCTCTATGGCACACTCGTTATAAAATACAGCCTAGTCTAGAGTGTAGAAAAACGATCTAATTTTGTGAGATCTCGACAACTTCCTAATTTAATTTCTACCTGGCCTTATTAATACAGAAATTTGCATGTTCTATAAATGTTTGACATTTTTGATAAAGCTACATGTAATTTACATTACAAAATAAATGCAGCTGTAATCAGTTACAGTTAATGAGAAAAAACGTGTTATTGTGAAAATGTTAACGATTACAAAGGGGATTACATTTAATTTTTTCCACACACACCCACCCACATGCATATTTAATTGATTTCTTTCATAACTTGTATTGATTGCTTTTAATTATGAGACAGTGTTTCAGGAGTTTAGGACACAGAATAGAACACGCTTAATCGATAACTGATTTATTTCCTATTTAGGTTTATTTATATGCTTTATTTTATAAGATTAACTGTTTTTCCCCCAAGACATTGGCTATGCAAAGATTTGATTTCAAAAACAGAAGCATAGCATAGTTATTAAACTATTTCTTGTTATGATTTTAAATTTTAAACTCATTTATCCTCAGAAATTCTGAAAGTCAGAATGATTGTAGAAGAGGCGTTAACGTCTGATTTTGTGGTGGCTGCACTTTAAAATTCAATTATAGGCTAATAATCTTAATTCAAGGGATGAAGGATTTTGAAAGTCTGTAAGGGTAACCCTGCCTGGTTTAAATGTTTGAAAATGATTAACAGTTGAAATTTAGAAAATGTAGAAAATTAATCAAAAATTAATCAAATGTAATCATCAAACTTTTTATTAAGGACACACTCGGTCCAAACAAAGACACAACAATAACAACATACAAAAACACACACAAGGACAAAAACCACAATATCACATATTTACATGTGTACTAAAATGCCAATGATTCCACATTTTAATCAGTTACCTACATTACTTTAATAAAGTAATTGAAATAGTTACATTACTTATTACATTTTAAATAGGGTAGCCTAACTTGTAAACTGAAACAATTCCAAAGTAACCTTTCCAACACTTGATGATATTATAATATAATACAATATAATGCATAGTCTATATGATGTTAGATTAATATAGGCTAGTTCAGAGGTGAGGGCCCATGCACCATCTCTGATCCGCGGTTTTGTCTCACTTTTTGAGTGATTATTTATTCATGTAAACAACAAAATAAACTCTCTGGCTGCGTCCGAAATTGCATACTCTCTGTGTAGGAAGCCTATTTCTTTTGAATAAATAATTAGTGCACATTAAAAAAGTAGGCCTACGCACAGGGCCGTCCTTAGCTGACTAGTGCGAGTTAGGGAGTGGGGCCCCCCTCGGTCCGTTCGCGATCGCGTTCGTCATCCGGGACTTTTCGCCTACTGTTTTATGAATACTGTGAATTCGGACAAACTACTCTTTTCAAAAACTTTTGGTTTTACATTAACTTGTGGTCAGATTTTGATCAGGTGAGGTAATGGAATGCAAATTTTGACTTTCTGGGCTTCCTGTTTTCCTCTCCAACTCATTTGAAATTCTCCACTGTGAGCTCATCCACATATGCAGGTGAACTACTAAACAGTAGGCCTAAAGAAGTATTTGATGTCAGATGCAGCCTCTCACACTTGAATGAACTGTAGTATATCAGTTCATTCAGATTCAGTTTTTAGTAAATTACAAAAGATTAAACTCGATATTCTATGTTTTTTTTTATAGATATTTTCAATGGAAAAACTGGTTCAAACTCAACTCAGAGGTTTCTATTTCCCTGCTCCCCAAACACTAGGAAGAAACACCTTTCAAATGACAGAGAGAAACCTACTCTTAGCTACAGGCAAAATCATACTTTGATTGCATTCATTATTTTTTGCAACGTACTTAATTTTACATTCAACACCCCATTGAAGAATACTATGAAATCACACCATGCATGACTACTAACCACAAAAAAATAAAAATAAATAAAAATAATTAAGATCTCATTTGAGTTTACATGACAACAAGCCAATATAATACCTTAATGCCTCAAAAAAGAAACCCAGGCTTTTGAATTCTGTTTACAGAAGTGTTGAAAAGACCACAGATCTTTGCACATTCTACATATGATTTTTGTCAGTGTCTGTAATGAGAAACATACCATTGTTTTAGCTGTGATCAAGAGGTTGCAGCACAATACAATAATCACACAGTCAATCTTTCAAATCGGTCATTACAGATTAATAGGTTACATTATGAAAAGTGCTTATTTATGTCTAAGTTAATGTTTGAATTGCCTTTTTTACTCTGTAGAGTGTATCAAAATGCAGGTGCAGGAGAGCACAAAAACTAATGAGGCTTCATTTACTTTTAATGCCCCACCATGAGCCTCAGATGTTGTTTTTCCCTCCCCTGGTAAGCCTCTTGGACTAAGGGCTCATAGCTTTGTCACTGCGTCAACCTACAATGCTTATGTAAGCACAACATTATCATATTTGTTAAAGAAAGCTGGAAAACATATTCACTTTCTCATATGGCTACATGAATGATGCAGTGATATGATACATGATATGGCTATTTTAGGTGTATACAGTAGGTTAACCCCAGGAAAGTTCACCTGCATAGATGTGGATGAGCTCATGAGAATTTCCCCAAATGAGTTAGAGAGGAAAACAGGAAGCCCAGATAGTCACAACTTGCATCCCATTACCTCGCCTGAATAAAATCTGACCACAAGGTAATATAAAACCACAAGGATGATGGAATGGAACTTTTTACCAATTAGATTAACATTACTAAACATCATTTGTTTAGCCTAAATACAATCAGTAAAATTTATATCTATTTGTTAACATTAGTTATACATTAACATGAACTAACAAATAAAAATCCAAAGCATTTTTTAATCATATTTAATATTAATTTGAACATTTTAACAGAAGTTGTGTTAGTATAATTTAATGGACATAAGCTAAAACTATAACAGTTATTAAAAAATACCTACTGTAATTAAAAAAAACTGTAATCCATTGCTTATTTAATGTTAGATGACGTACTAACTAATGTTAACTAACATTAACATTAACTTGCTTATGTTACATGGGAAGGTTTTTTATTTACTTATATTTAGACTATGAGAACATTTCAAGGCACATTGAAGTAAATATTATCAAATTGAATGAGAATCAAATTCTCATTCAACCTCAAATTTGTAAAATGATAGCAAAAGATTTTGAAGCAGTGTTGTGTCATCTGCTACTCCTTGAATGATAACAAACAAAAACACTAATCCTTAAAAAGGCATATGCAATTTTTTTCTTTGGGATTGTTTAGAAAATACACCACCAGATCAAGCACAAGCATTGCATGTCTCTCAGAAGAATAAAAAAGTGAATCTGTTAATATCATCTTCCATTTATAGGAGAGAACATGGAGAAACAATCTCAACCAGATTTTTACACAGACCTTATGGTTCTTATCTGCTATAATCTGGAACCACATGCCTTTTTAAATTCAAACCAGACTTTGAGTGAAGTCTTGCTGGGAGCCTCAGCAGGAAAAACCCACTGGCCTCACCAGAACCATTATATTGATTCTTCCAAACCACGAGCGTTCTTTGTTTACTTCTCTTTGGAGTTTGATGGGGCTGTGGTGGATGATCTAACACTTAAACACAGAAAACAATGAAGAGTTAAATATGGTATTTGAAATTTGGGCTTGTGATTTCCCTATGCAGTGTAATATGGTGTAAAGGTGTTGTCAGTATACCATTACTGTGTATCAAAGGGTATATGCATCTCAATATTGTACTTTTCCTCTGAAATACAACACAAAACCAACAAAAACCCACTCTTTTAAAATCCAAACTGTGCACTCACAGTCTGACCTCACTGAGAAGGTCAACTCCAAGTCACACTAGAATGACCTTTGAGCTTGAATGCTTAGCAGTAATATAGGGCAAATGAGGATAGGCTGTGCAACACAAAGTAACTTCTGATTTATCTCCATAAGGGTTTTAGGAAGTTGTCTGGATATAATTATCAGTCTAGAGCAGTTTACGTGATTTAATTTGTATCTGATAATGACAATCTGCTGGTTCCCCTTACAGAAATAGCACTCCTTTGATGCTATAGAGCTTACGGATTTTCCATAATAGACTAAAAGATCATTATAACGTTCTCTCCAAGAAGGAAGTGAAATGATATGAGGGTGAGTAAATTAATTTTAATTTCTGGACATTTGATATACTACGCACTCACTGCTTTGCTCCAGAAGGTGCTGCTGTACTGATTTTTGAGTCAAAATTTTCTTTTGTGAAAAGAAAAAGTGTTCTTGCGCCATCATGTGGCAGAATTCTTCAATTAAAAATTATGAAACTTTCTGACCTGTCATTATAAGTGCACATGGCTCTTTAAACCTGGAGGGGTTTTATAATTGTATATAAAGTAAAATATACAGTCAAATCTAAAACAGAAAAATCTGAATTTTATGATATTCCAAAATTTCTTATTCTCTCTCTCTCTCTTTTTTTTTTGTAAAGCATTTGATGCTGGAAAGATGCCTGTAAAATAAGAGCCTATAAGCATAAAAGTTCTGTATATGGATTTAAATTTACATTGCTGAAATTAGGCTACAGTAATAGGAGAAAATACATGCAATGGCGGGTAAAAAGACGACTGAATCACTGAAGGCGATTACTAAAAACAGGACATAAATCTAAAATATAAGCAGGTTTTGCATATAAAAATCTGTCTAATTCTATTTTTTTTGGTAGCCTATATATATATATATATATATATATATATATATATATATCAATGCTCTTAAAATATTATGGTAAATGCAAATTACTACTTTGATGACTGCAATATTTTTAGTGATTAAGAATTAACTAAAGAAACTGCTCATAAGACTTAGGAAGATTCACGGATGGGGTGAATTTGAATGGACTTTAGCATATTACAGCAATCTTTCTTGACGCAAACCCCCTAGAACACCCAGAAAATCAAGTTAACCATTATATTTGAGGGGGAAAGTGCACGTATTAGCAATTTTTGAAGTTTCTACTCAGTTTCTTTACAATATGCTATCTCTCGCTCTCGTCCCTTCACGATATCTCAGACAAATTCCTCATGACATGCAAAGTTTTTCTCAGCTCTTGCCATTTGTCTTTGATCATAACATCAAAAGCATATAATTAGATAAACGAAGCCGACAGCCACAACATGGTAACCTAGTTTTAGGTGTCGCAAGAACATTGTACCACTGACCCATGGAGGGCGGAGCATAAATACAGTACATATGAGGGTGAGAAGTCTGGCGAATCGCTCATCTTGGACACCCAGCCAAAATGCCACTGGAACTGTATCTCGATTTGCATTCCCAGCCATGCCGCTCCGTCTTCCTATTTGCCAAGATAAATACAATTCCCTTTGAATTCAAAACCGTGGATTTATCTGCAGGTGATTTTTGTTTTATTTTTATGTAGCTGTTTTATGGAATTGTGCATGTATACTTGGTAATCTGCAATTATAACCTTTAGCTGTTTCACTTGATCTAAACCTAATGTTTTAACGTTGATCATGTAAAAATTTTTTTTTTTTTTACTTTAAGCACAGTTTTAAGTAGTTAAGTTTTATTCCATTGTGCTCTGGTTCCAGTGAAAAAGTTTTGTATTTTCTGCATTAGTCATCAGACCTATATTTTTTTCTCTGTGCTCTAAAGGTGAACAATATGGAGAGGAATTTGGTAAGGTCAGCATCATAAGGAAAGTTCCTGTCCTCAAAGATGGAGATTTTATTCTAACAGAGAGGTAGGCTATGTTGTTACCCTGATTTACATTTGATACGTATTTAGATTTTGTAAGACACTAAGACTGTATACTTTCTATATAGTATAGCTATACTGCAGTACTTGGGAGCGAAACATCGCACTCCTGACCACTGGTATCCAGCTGACCTGCAGAAGCGTGCACTAGTCGACGAGTTTCTCTCCTGGCAGCACACGAACATAAGAACTCATGGGTCAAAGGTCTTCTGGTTCAGGGTAAGAGTCGCTTTATTAAACATTAAACCAATCATTTGTTGTGTTTGTGTGTACTGAGTAAACTGTGATTATGCAAGCTTTCTTTTAGCTATTTTTTTACTCTCTTTAATGCATGCATTACCCACAGTCAAACGAATATTTCCCAATTCTAGGGGGTCTTGCCTGCAGTCACTGGGGCCCCGGTGCCTAAGGAGAAGATGGATGCTGCCGTGGAGGACCTCAACGCGTCTTTGAAAACCTTTGAGGACAAGTTTCTGCAAAGCAGGCCCTTTATAATTGGAGATAAAATATCTCTGGCTGATCTTGTAGCCATCGTGGAGATAATGCAGGTACATTTTGTGCATTTGATTTCTTAGACCAAGTGCTTTACCTAAACAGGACATATTTACCAATTCTGTTTGTGTGTCTTGAAGCCGGTCGGTACAGGTCTAGATGTGTTTCAAGGCAGACCTGCTCTGAGTGCTTGGAGAGACAGAATTAAGAAGGAGATCAGCGTGGAAGTCTTCGATGAAGCCCATAAGGTTATCATGAATGTTGATACACTGCCACAAACCTTTGAGAACAAAGGTTTACCAGAGTTTCTCAAGCTAAGGATACAGAAAATGTTTAACTGAGTCTGTTTGCATGGTCTAATAATCTAGTATTAAAAAATATCTTTCAAGTTATGGACTTGATCAAACACGGTCTATAAAATATTATAGTATTGAAATCATTGTATTCAAAATAAAAACATTACAATACAAATTATGCCTAAATGTATGCATTTGTACAATTTACAGTGCATTCATATATTATGTTGTGTGTTGTCTTGAATGGCGAAATACCAAAATCTCAAAAACTCACATTTAAACAATACATTTAAAATTAGCAAAAACTCTTACATGAACTGTTCAATACATGTTATTTCTTATGCTCAGATAGTCTTAAGAAAGCATAGATTTTAGGCTGGTAAAGCCAAAATGCACGTGCCATCCCAAGCTTGAGTTATAATTTATTTTTAGCAGTCCTTGTTACAGTATAATTATACATTTAAGTACTGAGTAATATTAATTAACTGCATATACTTACTATATGGTTAGGGCTATGATTAGGGTTTGGCTTACTTGCATTTAATTATCCATAATTTATTTTTATTTTATAATTTTTATTGTTATTATTATATATTGTTATTAAATTTTTTTATTATATAAAATAAAGTGTTACTCAAACTTGTAACAGCAATTGCAGTATAAGTATGACATATGAGTAATATAGTCTTTAGCTATTTTCAGTTGTTCAGGAACAGAATTCATATTAATAATACATAGAAATTGTATTGATATTTTTCACAGTAAAATATACGACTACATGTCTGTCTACATAGATCACAAGACAAAAAAGGTTTTATTATCACAGCACACGAAAACATAAGAGTGAGATTCAAACAAATTAGCCACCAAATCACCAAAATATAAAAATAGTTAAGAATTGCTATGAAACTGTGTTGCTTATTCTCCTGACTATTCAGCAAACTGTAGTATAAAGTCAATCAATTAGTAACAGTTACAAGTATTCATTTAACAGATAATTTTATCCAAAGTGACTAAATCTTAATTTTATGTTTACGTTATTACTTACTTTATTTTTATGCGACTAAAAACATTAAGTGTTTGATTTGAATAATTCAAGTCCCTGATCATATCAAACATCCGCTGTCACAACTGTCTGGCTTTGGCTAGCTTGTTCCTCTGTCTTCCTACAGCAGAACAGACTCCAGAGCTTCTCTTTCAGATACCTGTTTGAAGCTGTCAGAAGGAGAGAAGTCATGCCACTGTAAAAACTAAAGGCACTGGCTAAGGTGTGGTAGGTGATCAATTGCCCAATTAACCTTATAATGATAAACAAAGCCACGATACACAGAGTGGACATATAAACTCCCACCAGGGAGACGGTGATCTTGCACACCAGGATGTACGAGTCAGATCCCTGCACCTGGGTCTGGTTCTTCTTGAGAGCCAGCGTGTGGGCACATAGATGGACGACCATTCTGATAGAAGTGGGCAGCATGATCATCAGAGGGATCGGGCAGAGGAGACAAATAATAACAGCAGCGTATGCGTTTGCGTTCATCTGTATAGTGAAGGAGGGCTGTGGACAGGTCAAGTTGGCGATGTCATTCACGTTGTGATTTTTTTCCATTGAATCCACAACGTCGAGTGAGAACATAGGAAAGAACAACAAGGAGGATAACACACAGCTCAGCAGCACTGCAGCGTTGATCACAGAGGAGATGTTCCTCTTCAGTGCCCGGAAGCACTCAGAGGAGAAATTCACAACTTTGATGCAGTAGAAGAGACTCAGCCATGCAATGGCCCAGAAGCTGATGAAGCTGCAACTCATCATTAGATATATTTCAGTCCGAATAGCTAAAGGATATGGCCTGATGCACCAAATTTGGGGATTCTGAAAGACACTAACCACCAATGCGAAGGTGGCGAGTACCAAGATAATGTTGCTGATGGAGATGACATTTAGGATCAAACCGACAGTCTGAATGCTCCTGGTCTTCACTTGCTGTTGTATAGTAAAAATGAGGTTAAATATGTTTCCAGAAACACCAACTATCATAAGTGCGACAAAAAAAAGAACGTGCCCAACGAGGGTCATGATGTTGCTCTTCAGAGAGGGAAGCACACAAAGCGGAGTCCTGCACTGATATGAGGTTTGGTGAGATGCGCATTGTCTTATATAGAAACAGGGACTCAATCTCTTATGCAAAGTGACTTTGTGTGGGTGAATCAGAGCAGGCTTTGTTCAAAGCTGAAAACCCAAATTAGGTAAAATGAGAGAAATGCACCATGTTTACTACAGTTCAGATTACAGGGAAAACAAGATCATTTGTGAATTTACTATATTATCTCTATTTTTCACTTATGGTGAATATAAAGCTCATGCGTGTCACTTACACACTGAGACTGCATTTGTTGTTATATGTATATATAACAATCAGTACTGAATGTTCATGTAATCAGTGTTCAGAATTTGCCTATTCAAATCTTGTTTGTTTGCTATTAGACATAGTTGGAAACATGTTGGATAAAATGCAATCTGTACAATTTTACTATGCAAATATCTGAAGATGTGGGGACTTAAGTTTTCCACTCTCAAGTTTCTCCGTTGTCATCCACAGGATAATGGTTTGACAGATGAAAAAAAAAGTATTTTGATGAGACTGTGATGTAACAACATGACAGAAACTCAAAATTTTACCTTGAAGATTATTCTGTGCATGGTGTTAAATAAGCTAAATTAGATTTGGCCTTTATGATGTAAATTCATAACAAATTCACATTCAGATACCGTTCAAAATTTTGGGATTTTTTTCAAAGAAATTAATACTTTCATTAAGCAAAGATGGGTTAAACTGATCAAAAGTGACATTACAGATATTTATAATGTTATGAAAGATTTTTATTTCAAATAAAACTTTATATTAATCAAAGAATACTGAAAAGAATACGTAACAAAAACATTAAGAAACACAACTGTTTGTAAAGCACCAAATCAACATATTCTAAAAAATGCTGGGTTTTGAAACAACCCAGCATTTTTAGAGTGTAGAATGATTTCTGAAGGATCATGTGACACTAAAGAGTAATGGCTGCTGAAAATTCAGCTTTGCCCGGAATTGCAGAATTTTACATTTCACAGTATTACTGTTTTACTGCATTGTTGTTCAAATAAATGAGCCTGCATAAGAGACTTTTTTCAAAAACATACATTTTCTTAATTAAAAAAAATATCTTATTTTAGGCAGGAATAATCCTTGTTTTTATGACGTTGTCAAGAAATGAACTTGAAATGTTTTGTTTTTGGGGCCGCTGTGAATGGAATGAAAATATAATAAAAATATGTTAAATGTGTATTATATATACATGAATTGAAATATATACATTATAATTAAAAATAATGAAAAATATAACTTTTCATTTTACAAGTTCAAATTAAAAAAGAGAAAGAATTGAATTCTTAAAAATAGAAAAAATAGCCTAGTTATTTAAAATGTATTTCAAATAATGTTAAAGACTGAGAAGGCATGATTCCAAGATGAAAGTGGATATAATGTAGCCTAATAATTTTGAATACATTAGTCTCAGTGAAAAGTCTTTGTCCGTCCCAAGCAAGAGAGTGGCAAATAGGCTAACTGTCTTCCAAAAGACCATGTGACCACCTTCTCCTGCGCAGCGCGAGCTCAGCTCAGCTCAGCACAGCTGCACTCCGCGCGCAGTCATCGTGCCTTCGCCAGTGTTTACAAGTCACCGCCATGCCTTGCACTTTGCTGAACCTCTGTGAATATGACACGCAAAAACTCGTCAAAATCAAGAGCGTCAGACTTGGGTCTCTGAAATGGACGTTAAACGGAGTGATCTTGTTGTTCATTTGGTGAGTGTCTGTGTCCGCTGTTTCTTGCATGTCGCCCCCGCATCATTTAACAAAAGCTCATTCATGTACAGTACAATCACTGCCAGTGAGTCATTTACACGTGTTATTATGTGTTTACATGTAACGTTACTGACCAACGTAGATTCTTGATTCGAAGTCACAAGTCAATTAGGCGCGTTTCCATTACCCTTCAAATTGCGCGAATTGAAAATACGCTTAATGGAAACGCGTCAATTTCGCAAAAACTCCCATATATCGCAAAAACGTTTTAACGCTCGCATGAGGTGGTTTTTCAGGCAATGCGAAAAAGGAATAATTCGCAAAACTGCAATGGAAACGGCTTTTTCGCATTTACAGGTCACATGGCGTATGTAAAAAGTCATATGATCATTCTTCAATGTACTATAACCTCCAAGAAACACTTCATAAGTGGCCGCGCTCCGGTGCAAGGGGCTTTCCCTACTATTAATGCTTAGACACTTTACACTGCACACGTCTGCGGTGCAGTGTGGCTCTGATACAGCATCTGAAGCTGATTGCGGCCACTCAATGCTTGTGTTTATGTTTTTATACAGTCTATGGTTTATTCCAGACGCGCCACGCGCGTTTTTTATCGACATTTATAAAATATCGCCAAAGGTTTGCGCAAATCTGTAATGGAAACGGCATGTAATGTCTTTACTTTCCAGTATCATGATGCTTTGGAATAAAGAATATCAAGAGTATGATCTTGTAGTGAGTTCTGTCACCACAAAAGTTAAGGGAGTGGCAAAGGTAACTATACCAGACATTGGAGAAGTTGTGTGGGATGTGGTGGACATCAGCGGACCATATCAGGTAACAGTACACCATTTATTATTATAATTTTTTCATGCCACAAAAACAGATTTATGCTCATCCCAGTGACTCTTAAAAACGAGGTAGTAAGTTAAGGTAATAAACAAATAAAGGTAATAAATAATGTTGTTCTTATTTTATTTTGGCAGGGAAGAAACTCCTTTTTTGTGGCGACAAATGTCATTGTAACAAAGAACCAAAAACAAGGTAATTGCCCCGAGGTAAGTGTAGCTATTCTAATTTCAGTTTATTTGATAATACAATACAAAATGTATCTTAAGCCTTATAAAATTTTCTTTTTTGTTCACCACTACCATTTTAAGCCAAATATAATCCATTCAACAGACGGTTTTATGTTCACACTTCAGGTTCTACCACATGGGAAACTGTGTCGAACAGATAAAGACTGTGAGAAAGGGTTTTCTGACCAACATAGCCATGGTAATGTTATATAAAGAAACTATTTTAAGTCATGCAGCTTGCGAGGAAGTATTTTGATGTCAGACCAATCTTATTTTGATATGAAATTAAATGTTGAATTGTTTGAATATTCGAATAACACTACCCGAGCTGTATTTTATATCACTGAAAACCTAAACCATTATTGGATGTTTTTCCATGATCTGAGATTTGTTCCTGTGTTTGTCTCTAAGGTGTTCAAACAGGTGCCTGTGTGAAGTTAGATGTACTAAAGAAAACATGTGATGTTACAGCTTGGTGCCCCATTGAGAACAAGAGGAATCCCAGGTGCTGTAATGTGCTCATTTATATTAAAGGGGTAGTTAACATTTTGTCATTATTTACTTATTCTTGTGTCGTTCCAAACCTGTATGTAACACGTGCAGATATTATGTTCAAAATGACTTTCAAATTTCTAGTCTCAAATGACTTTCATTGTATGTTCCAAAAAAACCGGAGACATTTTTCATTCGAAATATGAAAGTCATGCAGGTTTGGGATGACACGAAGTTGAGTAAATGATGACCGAATATACATTTTTTGGTGAACTGTACCAGTTTCATGACAGTATTTTGTCATAATTGAATGTGGGATTGACTCTTGATTGACTGTTTGTCCTGCATACTGTTGTTGTTTGTTAGTTAAGATTAAAACTTACGGTGACAGCAAAGCTATTTGGCAATAGAAAACAGCTCATCGTCAGCTATGCTGCAAAATGAATAAAAAACAGTTGACACTGCAGTTCAAAGCTACCAATGCCACCAAAGAGACATTTGAGGAATCTGTTTGAGGAAGTTGCAGTTTTATATGAACAGAGATTCGGTGTACGGAAGTTTTCTTATGTCAGGTTTTCATTTCTGTTTCCCCAGGTCTGCTCTTTTGGCATCTGCAGAAAATTTCACTGTGATGATCAAGAATAACATCAGATTTCCAGCATTTAATTACATAAGGTAGTACACAAGTTTTATAGTTGCAAATGCTATTATATTTACAGTACAAATGTTGGTACACTAACATACTTTATGGGTTACACTTTATTAAGGTGTCCTTGTTACAGTGTAATTATACATTTAAGTACTGAGTAATATTAATTAACTACATCTACTTACTATATGGTTAGGGTTAGGATTAGGGTTTGGTTTAGGGTCACTTGCATGTAATTATATATAATTTATTGTTATTATAATAGTAAGTACATGTAATGTGTAACAAGGACACCTTAAAATAAACCATGAACTGTTAGCAGTAACAATAACATTGAACTTTCACGAGTTCACCCTTACATATAATCTGATTGATCAAATAGTAAGCATATTTTGGCGTGCTGTCCTGGGGGAGGGCCCTAAGCCCAGAATATAGCCCGAACCCAGAGAACTCCCCCTATCCCTAGTATGGGATGAGAATAGATTAAGAGTGAGGAGTTGGGGTGGATGCCGGAAAACTGTCATAGGATAGAGGTAAGTAGGCTAGTTAGGATGATTAGCTAAACGAGTTACACTTGTGCCAAATTGGTTGATTATCTGATCGTGCTCCTCCCGAACCTTGTTAATAAAACATCATTAAATGTTAGGCAGAAGGACGCTCCTTATATTTAGTATTTAAAAACTGATAATATAGCCATCCATTTATGTTTTTCTCTTAGAAGAAACATCCTGCCTCAAATGAAAGACACTGACCTTAAAGGTTGCATTTATAACCGCTACAAAAATCCATACTGCCCCATTTTCCGTTTGGGAGACATTGTGAGTGAGGCCAAGGAGAACTTTTCAGAGATGGCAGTGGAGGTAAAACCTTTCTTTCCAAGCACACTAGGACATACACTGCCGTTTAAAAGTTTGGGATCAGTAAGATTTTTAATGTTTTTTAAAGACGTTTCTTTTCTGCTCATCAAGGATGCGTTTATTTGATCAAAAATACAGAAAAAACAGTAATATTGTGAAATATTATTACTATGTAAA